GCCATGTGTCCTTGGACACATGGCACAGTGGATGAAGGTGTCAGATCCAGTGACAGAACCCAAAGAGTGTGAGTTCAATACCCACTTAAGGCAGTGGAGAACTTGGAGAGGGGAATTAACAGGAGATAGGTGACAACTGACATCCATTAAGACATGGCATGTGGAACTAAAACAATCTACCCCAGTGAGCGAAATAAAGGGTTCAGTTCGACATTCCAACCACCTGAAGAAGTCCGAAGCATACAACGGCCGAAACTTTGTAATAAATATGGCGACAAAGATGAGGACAATAGTCCGAATAATGTAAATAGAAAGACGGTGTTTATTGCCATAAATCAATTACCTATATTGGACATACAACCACCTCCTTGGATTGATGCCTCATGTGTCATATCAGATAAATCTACCCACAATTTACAAGAACTTTGGAACATTAAAATTCTACATAAATCACATTACTTGAAACTTTTTGCTATAAGATAGGCCCTGTATATTAAACATCTCTCTCCTACTATCAGCATCTTATTTAATAGTGGGAATGTTGTGATGAAAGTTTTTTTTAAAAAATAGAAAGATGCTCACTTGAATTCTAGCAGTGCTCAACATGAGAACCTGGAATAAATGCTCCTACTAATATTCAAAACAAGACACAACAAATACATCTAAGTCTAAACATGAAGAAAAATTAACAACACCAAGGGGAAGTAAATCAGTGCTTTTGGTAGTAAATTGTAGTAATTATTTCCCTTGGTTATTTTAATGATCTATACAAATAAAATGAAGTGTCTGTCTTTTTACCGGGACAAGATTAGTTCCCAGGCAACACTGGGTAGCTCTGCTAGTTTGGAATAAAATGATCATGTAAGAGACAAAAACTGAAGATGTTTTAGTTGTATTTCTATGGCGCTATTACTAAGACAACGATCATTGGCTGACAAAGAAGAATGATGGCATTGATGTTGTTTAAAAATGTGTTTTACTGCAAGTGGCCCAACCATTAAGCTTTGATGTTAACACAAGCAAAACCAAATCAACATAAAATCAATATTTTTAACTGACTTCCCGTCAAAAGCCTAGATGAAATCCAGCTTACTCTATTTGATTGTGTAAAAACCCCACCCTTCATCAGAGAAGAAAAAACCGTTAAATGGTACATCAAATGTTATGAGAACTTTCATTTTCTCTCTTTGGTTCAATTCAAGTTTCTTTTTCGGTATCTATTACAAATTTATAAAATCTTTTTCATATAACATTGTATTCTTCTTCTTCTCTGTGCCATGTCTCCTCAGGACATTATTGATCATGGGTCTTCACAATTTCCTGTCTTTTGTAGCTCTTAGTAAATTTTGTTTTTTTAGATATATCTTCTAAACCTTGTTTCGTCAGCCATTGTTTTCCTCTGCACCTCTCAACTTCAATATGTCCCATGAGTAGCAAATTCTTTAAGTATAAGTTTCCTTTTTGTTTCCATTTTCTCTAAAATTTCATCTACTCTCATGTTCAGTCTATGGTATTCTCAGCATCCTTCTGTAGAACAACATTTCTGTTGATTCAAGTCTCATCTTCATCAGTGAAGAGATTGTCTAACATTCAATGACATATGGGAGGACTGATATAAGTTTCTCTTTCTTTATTTCTAATTAAATTTTCTTGTTTCGTAATAATTTGCTCAGCTTTTAGAAGGCATCTTTCACTATCCCAGTGCACCTTCAGATTTCATTATTACACTTTCCGCCTTGTGTGAAACTTTTTCCAGGAATTTAAATCTTTTTGCTTGCTTCATTTTGACCACCAATTCATAGTTTGAATGTTGGGCTATTTCTTTTTCTAACAACTAATCATTCTATCTTCTTGCAATTGATGTTTAATTCTTTTTTCTCCCTTTCCTTCATTATTTCTGTAGAAGATCTTGTACTTTCATTTTGGCATCTGGTATCAACACTATGACATCTGCATATCTTAAGATTGTGGCTGCCAATAAAAAAATTCTAATAGGACTTCTAAATCTCTCAGAATCACACCACTATATACAGGGTGCGCTGAATAAATTGTCATCTAAATTATGCAAAAATGAAAACAACACTGACATCTCATTTTAACAGATGGCACAAAAATATCTTGAAAATACTAAAGAGTAAATGTATTCACAAAAATCACCATTGGCTTCAACCACAGCCTGCAAATGACTTTGGAATCTCCTGCTTCTCTTCTGAACGGTCTCCTTGTTTAAGATGGTGAATGCAGCCATAATTGTTGCCTTCAGTTCATCTTTGGTTTTACAAGGCGTTTTGTTGCTCTCTCACTCAACTGTGCCCCACACATAGTAATCAAGGGTTTTGCAGTCTGGAGAATTAGGTGGCCGGATGTAAGGAGTGATGTGGTCGCAGAAATTATCTTACAGCCATGACTGGGTTCTCTTGCTTGTGTAGCATGGTGCAGAGTCCTGTTGCTAGACAGGGTCTTACAGCAGCCACCCTGTTGCTTCAGGGCAGCACTACTTCCTCAAGGCACTTGATGTAGAGCCCTGTGTTGAATCTGAGGCCCTGTAGGAAGATGAATGTTGGCATAACATTACCATCACTATTGATCATTCCAAACACCTTCATAATCATCATCCTCATTTGACCATAGTTGGGATCATCATGCCAATGCGAATGATCCTTCCTTTAGCTGTATAGTATCTGCTACAACAGGGCTACATAGTTTGAATTCAGAGCTACTTTCTCCTAGAACCTATAAAACCCAGTCTGTCCTGATATTTAACCATAGATGGGGGGAGAACAAGATGATTCTCATTTTTTAGCATGTATTAGCACATAAGTGAATGCAATGGATCTGACTGGAATTCAAACTTGGCTCTCTAATTCCTCAATCTGAGCCACTATCCATTACTCCACATGCCTCCTAATCACCATTAGACTCATCTAACTCTTTCTGAATCTTCTGCACTGTCCTCAGATACTCAAACACTCTGAAATATTTGTATTGGAGCTTCTGGCACGAATGCCAAGCAGTACAGCATACTGTTTCTAAGTAAATTGTGTCATGTTGGTCTAATTTTAGGACTGTCATAATTGAAATCATTTATTTCTATAACCTTGGCTAAGATCCACCATCCCTCACACACTTTCCTCATATGCCCTTGGTAAGTTCCATGCAAACAGCTTTTTCTCACAAACTACTGTTTTGTGGAATAAACACCAAAGAGGTTATCTTAGCCTATAACCGTCTACCTTGAGTGGCTCTTGGGCCTTGTACATTGTGAACAAAAAACCTTTATAAATTTAGTTTTTCATTTTTATTTCATTATTTTCTTTAGCAAAGCATAAAATATCTATTCCATATTTTACTCTTTAAATATTGATCCAATGAAATTTTTTCTCATTTAAATTCACTTGCCGAATGCCCATCCTAAAAGAAAAACTTCCCTTAGGAACACATGACGGAAACTGGCAAAACATATCATCCTGAGGTAATAAAAAATAAAAAAAAGAGAGACAAACAAAAATGTATGACAGATGAAATTTTTGAATTATCATTTTAGAAGAAAAGACAGCTGACAATGCTGAGGAATGGCACAGAATAAAGAATGTTAAGCAAAAGCCTTAGAAATAAAGGCAAGGAAGAAAAAGATGAATACCTCAATGAAAAGTATACAGGGATAAAATCTATGGAACATAGACATAAATGGCAAACATAAAAAAATAAAATAAAACCTGTTCCATGACAAGATATATAAAGTTTAAAAAGGAAATGCTCATAACAGAAAAAGGAATAATACAACAAAGAAAGATGAAATCAATACACCAGAGACATCTTCCATGGCAGAAGAGAGAAACCTACAATATATACAATCATGGAAGAACCTGTGATATCAAAATTTATTGTAAGATTGGCACTGGCAAAGATTAACACAAACAACCAGATGGGATTGTAATAATGCTGCTGTCAGTCTTAGAAAATTTTAGGAAATGAATAATGGTAAATGTGAGATTAACTGTTTCCTTATAAGGAAACATTTTACATTCATTGACCAGATAGCCTCACTGTAGGTTAAAATTTATAAAATCTTTCTCTCGAAAACAGATTTTTCATAAAAATAAGTTTTTGCAATTATACTTGTTGCTCTTTCCAGTATTAATGGGAGTTTCCTTACTAACCTTTTATTCCAAGTCGTGTGGAACGTCAACATCTTGATTATGTCATTGTCTTAGCTATTGTTCTTAAAAGTCTTCAAATGATGTGGCATCTGTTATTTAGTAAAAGTCTTTGTAAATCTGCAGCGCCGGTCCATGGGATATGATGAATTATGGTCTTGTCTAAGACCTACAGGTTCATTTGCTAGAAACCATTTCTAACGATCTGAGAAAGAAGCTGTAAACAGTTGACAGTTTAGACTTTTCTGAATAAGTTGGATGTCATGCATGGAAATTGTTGTAGGAGTCAAGATCTAAGATCTCATAAAATTTATTTTCAAAAAGCAACCGGGTGCAAATGAATGTGAGCTTCATCAGATAACTAGCTTATGTGAGCAACAAAGAAGTTTCAAGGAAAATACTTAAAATTGGAAAAAAGTTGAAATTTCTAGGGTACATTATGAGGAAAGATGGCCTAGAGAATCTAACACTCACAGGACATACTAAAGACAAGTAACAGAAGGATATAAGTAACCTACCTAGTGATCTTGTGTAAATGGATAACAGAAGAGGGATAAAGAAAGTGGATAATGACGGTAAATGGTAAAAAGTTACTTAAGATAACAAAAAGGATGTTGTGGAGAACCATGATTGCACACATTCAGAAGGGATAGTCATATAAAAATAATAAGTGTTATAGAGCATAGTCCTATCAGGAGAGATTACTGTATTGGCATTTACTCATCTTTTATGAACCTTCAGGATATATGCAGTCATGGCTCTTCACAACTTCCTATCCTTTGTAAATGTTTAGTCCTCTCATGCTCTTGCCTAGTCCTTGTCAGGCCATCTATTTAAGCAAGCATGTTAGGTACGTTAATCTCTGTTTCTATCTGTCCTTATTGGTTTCCGTGTCCTCTATCTGTCCTTATTGGTTTCCGTGTCCTCTCTCTCTCTCCTTATTGGTTTCCGTGTCCTCTCTCTCTCTCCTTATTGGTTTCCGTGTCCTCTCTCTCTCCTTATTGGTTTCCGTGTCCTCTCTATCTCCTTATTGGTTTCCTTGTCCTCTCTCTGTCCTTATTGGTTTTCCGTGTCCTCTCTCTGTCCTTATTGGTTTCCGTGTCCTCTCTCTGTCCTTATTGGTTTTCCGTGTCCTCTCTCTGTCCTTATTGGTTTTCCGTGTCCTCTCTCTGTCCTTATTGGTTTTCCGTGTCCTCTCTCTGTCCTTATTGGTTTCCTTGTCCTCTCTCTGTCCTTATTGGTTTCCTTGTCCTCTCTCTGTCCTTATTGGTTTCCGTGTCCTTTAAGTGTCAAATTCTTCAAGCCTTCTTTCCTCATTAGATGTCTTTGAAATTTTAACTCTTAATGATTTTACATTTTTTCTTTGTATGTTCTGTCCTTAGTATTCTCAGCATCCTTCTGTAGAACCACATTTCTGTTGCCTCCAGCTTTCTCTTCATCTTTGAGATTTGTCCAGCTTTCTCTGCCATATTAGAGGACTGATATTACATAGCAGTTCAGTACTCTTTTTTCTGTTTTAAACAAAATTTTCCTATTTATTAATACTTTGCTTAGTTTTTGGAATGTCTGTCTTTACTTTGTTTAGTTTCTGGAAGGTTTCTTTTGATACGTCAATGTACCTTCAGATTTCTGTGCCACTTTCAATCTAGGATATTTAGTCATAGAAATAAAAACGATAGCGTTTATTCATTATTGTGAGCTTGGTAATGTTTCTGAATAATACAGAGAACTCAGAAAAACATTTATCCAATACATATAAACTGTAAATCCTCATTAATATAGATTATGTTAATCCTCTTATCTAAAGAAGTAGCTTAATGGTAAAGCAAAAAATTCAAGATTTCAAGGTAGGTAGTTTGATAAATATATTAATGGAATAGGTTACTAAGACTGATTGTAAATAATGAATTAAAATGCTTTTTCTGCCCCCATACAATTTTTCTTTACTTATATATTATTGCATCAAGAGCTTCATGGTTATGTTTTTAAAAATCATTTCACCCCAAGCAAGGCAATAAAACCACTAAGATGCAAGGGGGTTACTGAATGTAAAAGAATGAGAAAAGAAATCATTATTAAGGTGAGAGGACAATACAAGAACAGGAACTAAGGAGACAGAAAATAATGATAGAAAATTTAATTGGAAAGTAAGAAGCTGGAAGAGAGTTCCACAAGCAAGAAGTGAGAGAAAAGAAACTGTTAGTATAGAACTTATGGTTACATCTAGCAAGTTCAACTGTAAAATGCTGAGACCGAGCTACTAATCTAGTAGTATATTTAAATTTGTAAAGTCAAGGTTCCATAGAAGAAAGCTTATTAGAACAATTACCATGAAAATATTTATAGAAAAGGTGGGAGAGTGACTGAAGCCGAGATGCCAGGTAAGGAACAATAACATTGCAGATTCTTTTTTCTTTTCTCAAAAATCTCTAAATACAAGGTAACCAAAAAAGTTCTGTCCGTTTTTTGATTAGTCATTGAATGAAGTTGAAATATATACAAAATGCGTGTAGCAATTGTTTTCAAATTCGGACAGCCGGAAGTAGGAACATCAGACGTTATAAAAAAACATGCGCACTGTGCCCGGCCATCAGTTATAAGCCAGACAGCTGTGAGAAGGATGGAAGTGTCTAGAGATCTCGTTCGGGGCTGTTTGCTTTACGACTTCAAAGTGGGCTTATCAGCAGCTGCATCAAGTCGCCACATATGTCAAGCATTTGGGGATAGTGCTGTGGATGAATGTACTACAAGGTGTTGGTTTCGAAAATTCAAGTTGGGAGATTTGTCTCTCCATGATGAGCCTCACAGTGGATGACCACAGGTCTTGAATGACGGAGTCCTGAAGGCGGCCATTGAAGAGGACAATAGTCTAACGTGTGGTAAACTTGCAAGACAGTTCAACATTTCCGATGAAACAGTTAGACCACCTGCACCGCCTAGGTAAAATGTACAAACTGAGCAAGCGGGTTCCGCAAACGCTGTTGGAGGTCCACAAGGGACAACAAGTGGCAGCCTGCGTATCGCATCCTTATTCAATCGAGTGCTTACCAGTGATGAAAAGTGGGTTCTGTATGAAACTCCCAAGCGTTCCAGACATTGGTTGTCTCCTCAGGATGCTGTCCCTCACACCGCAAGACCGCCTATGCATCCACGCAAGATTATGCTTTGTGTCTGGTGGACAGATCGTCAAGTGGTTCATTATGAACTGCTACCAACAGGCCAAACGGTCACTGGAGACCTATACTCGCAGCAATTGAAACGTGTGCAACAGGCATTGCGCCAGAAGGAGGCAGCACTGGTGAATCGCAAAGGTGTGCTTTTCCTCCATGACAACGCCAGGCCGCATGTCGCGCGAGTGGTCAGGGATACCATATAGCAACTTGGGTGGGAGACTTTGTGCCATCCACCTTATTCACCTGACCTTGCACCATCCGATTACCACCTCTTCCACTCCCTGGATAATCATCTTTGTGGGAAATCCTTCACCAATGAAGAAGACTTGCGCAAAGCCCTCACGGACTTCTTTGCGTCAACCCCCCCCCCCAAACCATGAAAGCGGCCTTTTGGTATTCCTAGGTGTGGTTCCCACACAGTCACACACTATATCATCATGGAGGTGTTTGCATACATATTTTATTTCAGTGTTTTGCTGTTTACTATATCGCATTTGTTAGTTTTATAGCAATGACTTGTAACAGAAGTGAGTAATTAAAAAATGTAATTGTGGTAATAAAATAAGCAAACCTCCCCTCTTTCTTGTAACCAACCACTATAATAAAATAAACGTTTTCAGAGTTAAAATGGAATTACTCAAATAAAGGTTTCTACTTAGAGTTGTTGCTATATTACAGTAACTAAAATAAATATAAAACTAAAATAAAATGTTAAAAAAAAAAAGAAAAAAAAAGGTGAGTCAGATATCCTGACAGTGTCCCATGAGAACTTAGAGAACTTAAGAGAAGATCTATTCCTTGACAGCTAAGACCTGTCATACGCCATCCACAGAGTCAAAAAATCCAAATTCATTCCATATTCCAAATGTAAAAAGAAGGTTACACTCAGACAGATTTTAATCCGAGAACCACTAGCTACTTTGGGAAACAGACTTCCGCACAGATTTTTCTCCAAACACTACAATTTTAAACTCTTCAAGTTAAGGGTTAATCATTATATATCCACCATATCCTCATCACCTGCATTTTCTCCTCTTATATTCATATCCTGCATCTCATTCAATAACCTTCTAAATTGAGTGGCTCTTGAGCCTTATATTAAGTGAATAAAAGTAAAATCTATATGTGTGTGAATGGATATGTGCATGTTGCTGACATAGTGTTTATTATGGTGCTTTTGTTTACTTTACATTTATGTCTTTTGTATCCATTTCTTCTCCCTCCAGGTATGGATTAAATAACAAGGCAGATGGAGCTCTTTAGTCAGGAAGGCAGCACATAGCTATGAATTCAAACCCTCTGCAAATATTGCACAGATAAAGTAGACATAGCAAGGTCCATTATTCACCATGTTGAAAGAGTATGGAATATTTCTGACATATCTGGGCTGGAATTGCTCAGTCAACATTTTTCAGCCTTGACAGAGTTTGAAATAGTTTTCATGGTCTTATAGAGAAAGAATTACTCTCCACCCAGAAGCCTCTTTCTCTTTCCCACAGGCAAAATATTGCAAGCCTGTCACTAGTTTATTGCTATTTACATGGCAAATGTTCAGATAAGATGCACTTTTTAATCCCATCAGTTAGGACACACTTTGAATATACAGTAAAAAAAAAAATAGTAATTTCGGTCTGAATTTATAAGATAAGCAGTTATTATTATTTACACTATTTACACTCAAACTATTGTCTTCATCATGATTTGAACCCTGCCAAAAGCATATTTTCTTTATTAAATGTCTTGAATGCCCAGGTGAGTAGATATCAATTAAATTATGCTAAAAGAAAAAAAGTCAGGGACGTCTACTTACACACACTACGGTTCAAAGTTTGAAGCCACTCCCAAAATTAGCATGGGACGAACTTGATAGAAGAGTGAAGAAAAATGAAAGAGAGTTCTCGGTGTTATTGATAAAAAATGGAATCAGTTATGAAAATTATACTTTGAGAAATTTTTGCAACAAATGCCAAAAAATTTGTGCTGCAGTAATCAAGGATAAAGGAGGATATTTTGACGAGAGCAAAATTTAATCATTAAATCCTTTTTTTTTTTTTGACGTAATAAAATTTCTAATCAAAAATCATGTCTCACTTTTTTTTAACTGCATATAATAATTTTCTTTTATTTAAAGGATAAAACAACTACTTTTTGGGCTAATTTTAAAAAATTATAGGGGATGGTTTCAAACTTTTGAACTGGTAGTATATATATATATATATATATATATATAATAATGGACTCTCCTGTCGATTTCGACGTATGAGGATCTGACAGCTTATTGATTCAGTTATGAAAGTTTGTGCGATAATCTTAAGTGGCATTTAAGACCTGCTAGTGATTTACAAAGGAGGCCACATATGGAGCAAGAATCAAGGTAAACCACCAGAAAACCCACACAAGTGATTTGATTAAAGTGGTGAAGGCTTGTGCAGAACCATCCACACTTTTTGGAACTATTGATACACTCAGTCGGTGCAAATAAATGCCACAGACGAAGCGGGACAATATACCTCATATATATATATAATTATTATTTATAAAAAAATTATAACCTAAGTATGTTATAAAATCACTACAAAAATAGCCATATTGTTTCAACACACTCAGTGTCTTATCAAGTGATGATGTTGAAGATAAAATAAATGGTTTATTTTATCTTCAGTCATTTTATAAGGTGATACTTATGTTATAATTTTTTATAAATAATTTTTATATATCTTCTATACTTTGTATTGAGCACTCTTTTAAGAATAGTAATTGTTGGTTATTGGAATTCATTCCGTATATACCAATTATATACTTGGGTATATATATATATATATATATATATATATATATATATATTGCACAATAAAGTTTACAGAATTTTTCAGAATATACTTATATTTACATGATAAATATAGCATTTGATTCTCAGTACATCATGTCTTTTACAATAACGTTCTTGGGGATTTGAGATTTAATAGGCAACTCAGTGTTTGTTCATATTGTAAGGAAATATACATTTCCATGAGATACTAATACTAACATAATTTAATAATTATATGTTACAGTTCAAAAATTTAAAGCCACCCCCAGAATTAGCATGGGATGAACTTGATAAAAGTGTGAAAAAATATAGGGAAGAGAACTCTCAGTGACATTGAT